CCGTTTTTTCTTGTGTTTCCCCAATGGGGGGGGGGGGGGGGCGGGCAGGCGGCACAAAATTCACATTCTTCCTCCTGCCATGGTGGGGATGGGGAGTGTGAGATTTAAAGGTGCCATGGTTTTGTTTTGTTTTTGTTTTTTTGGAGGGGAGGGTGCTTTTTTTGTTCAACATTTGGACATCCCCCTCCCTTCTTATTAATGCAGAATTTTGTTTTAAAATGAATTACAATATAATTAAAATAAAAATTATCCAACTAAATTAAGTTTCTATCAACTTTACCCAATTCACATTTAATATTCACACCAATATTTAAAAAGGGCTCTAGAGGCGATCCTGGCAATTACAGACCAGTAAGTCTAACGTCAGAACTGGGCAAATTAGTCGAAACAATAGTACAGAATAAAATTGTGAAGCATGTAAAAGAACATAATTTGTTGGACAAAAGTCAATGTGGTTTCTGTAAAGGGAAATCATGGCTTACTAATCTATTAGGGTATGTCTACACTACCACCGTAGTTCGAAGTAGGGTGGTTAATGTAGGCAACCAGAGTTGCAAATGAAGCCCGGTACCACGAGGAGTAACGGTAGTTCGGAATAGGAAGCCTAATCCGAACTACCTAGTTTGTGCCGCGTGTAGGAGTCCGCGTGTACGGAGTCCGAACTAGCGGACATTTAAAAATGGCGGCGCCCGACAAGATGCAAATGAAGCCCAGGAAATTGAAATCCCGGGCTTCATTTGCAACTCCGGTTGCCTACATTAACCACCCTAGTTCAAACTAGGGTGGTAGTGTAGACCTACCCTTAGAGTTCTTTGAAGGGATTAACAAACATGTGGACAAGGGGGATCCAGTAGATACAGTATACTTAGATTTTCAGAAAGCCTTTAACAAGGTCCCTCACCGAAGGCTCTTGTGTAAATTACATGGCCATGGGATAAGAGGGAAGGTCCTTTCTTGGATTGAGAACTGGTTAAAAGACAGGAAACAAAGTGTAGGAGTAAATAGTAAGTAATTTTCAGATTGGAGAGTAACTAGTGCTGTCCCCCAAGGGTCAGTCCTGGGACCAATCCTTTTCAACTTATTCATAAATGATCTGGAGAAAGGGGAAAGCAGTGAGGTGGTAAAGTTTGCAGATGATACCAAACACATTTAGGATAGTCAAGACAGAAGCAGACTGTGAGGGACTCCAAGAAGATCTCACCAAACTGAGTGAGTGGGCAACAAAATGGCAAATGAAATTTAATGTGGATAAGTGTAAAGTAATGCATATTGGGGAAAAATAACCCCAACTATACGTACAGTATGATGGGGGCTAATTTGGCCACGACAAATCAGGAAAGAGATCTTGGAGTTATCGTGGACAGTTCTCTGAAAACTTCCACACAGAGTGCAGCGGCGGTCAAAAAGGCAAATAGGATGCTAGGAATTATTA